CATGTTGCCTAGCCGTCGTCGTCAAATTGTGGTTGTGCCTCCTTGAAAGGAGCAAGCCATTCGATGGTTGGTTGTTGCCACAGCGCCACAGCTTTCCATTCTTCCGAGTTTCTGAGCCTGGAGCCCGATGGACAGACTCGATGGCCGTACCGCTCGGGGCGCATGCTCATGTCCACGCGTACCCCTGCTCCGCGGGTGACGCGGCCCGCCGACCTTCCCCGCCGCGAGAGGACGGGACGGGGCGACACGATCCTGGGAACAGGCAGGCAGCAAGAGCAGCGAGGGATAATGACATTTTTAGTCAAAGCGAAAAGTCTGCGCGGAGTACTGTATTCGGCGGCGCCCAAGGCTGCGGCAGTCATGCGACGAGTTTGTTTCGCACCCTGTCATTTAAGGCGGCGACAGCGCGAACGAACACCGGCGGCGGCGCGCTCGATGGGTAGACGAGATAACACACCTCCACGACGACGCGCGACGCGCCCGCGGGGCAAGAGGAAGGAGAAGTTTTCCATTTTGCCGATTCAATCGTGAAAGTCGACGGCGCGACGACGACGACGACGACGACGCCGAGGTGCTGCTGCCGGTGGCTGCTCGCAGATGGACAGATGTCCGGCAGCGCCAGTCGCTTTGCAACTGCAGCTGCGCTTTCTTCTCTCTTTCCCCTCGCCCTCTCGCTCCTCCGTGATCACTCTCACTTCCGTCGTTGGCAGCGCCGCGCAGCCGAGGGAAGGAAGGGGGTGGGGTGGGGCTGTGATCAGCACTCTGCAGCCGGCGCGGCTCCACGATAGAGGTGTGAAGCGGTGTGAAGCGGTCTCATGCGGTCCCAAAGCGGATATCCATCAAATCGTAACAACACATCATTTTGAAGCCTCAGCGGTCCCGCATGATATTTAACCGAGTTCATAGCCGTCTCGGTAGTCGTGTGTCCTCAATTTCGTTGAAAACCGTGTGTGGGGCTCTGAGGCTTCTCAGAATGCTGCGTTCTAACGATTTGATGAACAGCCGCTTTGGGCTACCGCATGAGATCGCTGTACACCTCTGCTCCACGAGGATCGAGTCGCTGCTGCCGCAGTCAGAGCTGC